GTGAAAAACAATTTGGGAATAGTGGGCGGGCAGATTTACATATAAGAAGCAGAGGTGAAGCAGGTGGTTACTGTTCCTGAGGACATCACTATTTGATGATGAAACACGTAGGGAGGGACCTCAGGTAATGTCACAAATTTATGATCATAATCCATTTATTACATTATGAGAGGCTTTTACCCTTTCTTTTAATGGTCCTGCTGTATACTTCCAATTGCCATATGAGGAAATAAAGGGATACCGGCTTACAAGGAATACTGGTGGGGGACCCAGCAAGTAGTGCATTCTTTTACTTGAGCACTATTTTGACTTTCTTGTTCACATAAGAAGTCAGTACCATCCGATGAGTTCGGTATGAGGATTGTGGAGGAAGTGGTACTAAGAACAAACATCAAGTATTGTCAATTTGAGTTATTTAGATCATGTGGACTTCACAGATCTTTGAATAGCATGTAATATCAAACTGCAGCAAGCAAGCTAGCAGACTATTAGCAAGCATTAAAAAGGATATTTATTCTATTCTACTCTCATTCTACTGCCCTACAAAGCTCTAGTTTGGAAACATTTTGAGCATGCCATCTAGTTTTGGTCACCAATCTTAAAAAAGGATGCCCTTAAACTGGAGAGAGTCCAGAGAAGGGCAACACAGCTAATAAGAGGGCAGGAGGAACTCAGTTATGAGTAGTGTTGGGCTCAATATTTGAGTCGAACGTAAGTTTGACTTTTTTTCTTTCATTTTTTGGGGGTGGGGTTCCCCTTAAAAGTCCTACCAGGCCTAAAGGGCCTGGTATGGCTTTTAGGTTGAACCCCACGCTCTTTTTCCCCAACTTTTTTGGGGCTAGGATTCCCCTTCAAAGTCCTACCAGGCCAAAAGGACCTGGTATGGCTTTTAGGGGGAACTACACACATTTCTTTTTTTTTTTTATTTACTGTGTGGACCCCATGCTGTTTTTTGTGGGGTTTTTTGTCATTGTCATTTGTAAAAATAAAATGTCAGTCCTGTTATTTCTAATCATTGTACAGATCTGCAACTTTGCAGGTAGTTTAATGGGACCCCGCCAGGCATCATATTTAAAGAAATTTTTCCTTTTCTTTCTACTTTAAGCAATGCAAAATGACTGCCCCTCTAAAAATGGTACTTTTTGAAATTTCTTTTCACTGACTCATGTCCCTCAGGGCAGGACCCGAGTCCCCATATCTCTTTTACGGCCGTGGCATATAAGCTTTCAAAATGGGCACTTTCTATTTACAAGTTCGAGTCCCATAGACTTGTATTGAGTTCGAAGTTCGCGGTTGAATGTTCATTAGGTTCGACCGTGAGCCGAACACGGGTTGTTTTTTTTGGCCCATCACTAGTTATGAGGAACAACTACAAAACATTAAACTTTTTGTCCCTGGAGAAGATACGCTTAGCAGGGGATATGATCACGCGTACAAAAAAGTATTTGTCACGCTTAAAAGATTCATTAAAATTTTTTTAATGTCACACAAAGATAACCCAAGTAAATACAAAATTCAATTTTTAAATGATAATTTTAGTTATTAAAGGAAAAAATCTGTCCAAACCTGCTTGGCCCTATATGAAAAAAGTAATTGCCCCCTAAACTTGTAAGCCGTGTACCGGGGTGGGCTCCCCAGGATACAGTGAAGTCACGAATGAGGAAAGCAACCCCAACACCAGCTTTTGCCACAACAGAATTTTACTTAGATGTGGCAAATAAATACAACCACAAATGCTGGAAACATACAATAAATTTACATACACCCAGCCCAAAGGCTGAGACCCTTGTGCTGCACAGCACGGCGCCTTCTGATGGATGAAGGTAGAAAGTGAAGTAATTTACCTACTGGCGGGCACAAATAAGCTGCCACACCTTACCTGTTATTACCCTAAAAGAGCAGGAATCAGTGTATGGGTGCACGGTATGGGCTAGCCTGCGGTGCAGCACCACAGCTTACAATCTTAAATATATCTACAGTATTCCCTCTCCCATAACTGGTCCTGTAGCACGTGCCTGAGTATTCCTTCTGAGCAAAACGCCAGTCTGGCTTGAGTTTGTAGGATTTTATCAGCTCTCCAATGTGAAATGTCACTTTAAGTTGTGGAGTCCTTCTAATAATCAGTAACAACACTTGTGGCCTGACACAAACAGAGACCCTAAATAACTAACTATAGGCCTGGACTCAGTCTCAAGGCGCCAACACTGAAATGAGGTGCGTGCACGATCTTACCAACCCGGGGCTGCTTTGCATCTGCTAGTGACTCTGAACAGAACAAATGTCTCTCCAACAAGCATGCGGTCTTGCCGTATATGTTGCTTAGTTCCTCTGCTCTCATCAGCCTTCCTGGCAGCAATCTCATCAGCATTCCTGGCAGCAAGCTCATCAGCTTCCTGGCAGCAATCTCATCAGCATTCCTGGCAGCAATCTCATCAGCTTCCTGACAGCAATCTCATCAGCTTCACTCAGCTGCAGCTCTGGTTACTGAGGGACGCTTTCACACCTGGATGTCATCAGATTCTCAGTTCACACGGCCCCTTATTCACCATGCTCCAGAACATGGCTTCTCTCTCTCCTTCCTGTTCTCTCCAACCCTGTGTGCAAAACCCCACCTCTTCATGAATATACAAATATCTATGCAGTCTGAGGCTGTTAGAAAAACAGTGACATCTTGTGGCTAAACCACAGAATGTCAGTCAAAACATTAATTTACTTCCACACAAACAGTATTCAAACAATGAGAGCTGTTTCCCCATCTCACAAACTTAATAACTGGTTGAGCCACCCTTGGCGGCAACAACTGCAATAAAGCATTTGCAATAACTGGCAATTAGTCTCTCAGATCACTGTGGAGGAATTTTGTCCCACTTTTCTTTGCAGAAGTCTCTTTCTTATTGTAGAATCATGAACTCTGACCTTAACTGAGGCCTGCATTTCTTTAGATGTTGTTCATCTAAGTCATCGTTGTGCTCTTGGATTAATTTTGGTAAGCGGGCCACTCCTGGGAAGGGTCACGACTGTTCCAAGTTTTCTCCATTTTTGGATAATGGCTCTCGCCTTAAAAATAGCTCTGTAACCCTTTCCAGACTGATACATGGCATATACTTTTTCTCATCTGTTCTTTGTTTCTTCAGATCATGGCATGAAGTGTTGCTTTTTGAGATCTTTTAGCGTGCTTCACTTTGTCGGACAGCTTCTGTTTAAGTGATTTCTTGAGTCAACAAGTTTGGCAGTAATCAGGCCTGGCCTGGATGTGGCAAGTGAATTCTAACTCAGCTTTCCAATAAATGTGGTTAATCACAGTCCATTCATGATTTAGCAAAGGGTGGAGGGGATTACAATTTCACATAGGGCGAGGCAGGTTTTTTGGACAGCTTTTTTCCCTTAATAAATAAAATCATCATTTAAAAACTTCATTTTGTATTTGCTCAGGTTATCTTTGGGTAATAGTAAAATTTGTTTGATGATCTGAATTATTTCAGTGCGATAAATATGCAAAAAAAAAAAATCAGGAAGGGGGAAAATTCTTTTTCACTTTTGGGTATATAAATCTTTAAATGGTGAATGTGCTCTTGGGGGGAAAATGATTTAATCTAATGTCTCTAAAGAGGACACACAGCCACACAATGAAGTTGCACAAGAAGTACCATATTTTTCGCTAAATAAGATGCACCTGACCATAAGACACACCTAGGTTTTAGAGCAGGAAAACAAGAGAAAAAAAAATATTCTGAACCAAATGGTGTACTAAAATATTTAATAAAATATAACAGAATACAATTTCAACCATGTAAAGTGAACAGCAGTCAACAATGGCATTAACCTCTTGCCGTCCGCCTGCTGTTTATAAACGGCAGGGCGGTGGCAGTCCAAGGTCGGGTTGCCGTTCCTAAACGGCACCCGCCTTTTCTAGCTGTGCGCGCTCCCTAGGAGCGCGCACCACCGCGATCCGGTGTCCGCTGTGTCCTCCGGACACAGTGAAACACCGATCGTCGGACGGGACCTCTGTACGAGGTCCCGGTCATGTGATCACTGATTGGCCAATCAGTGATCACATGCAAAGTAGTAAGCAAGATGTCACTTGTGACATCATTGCTTACTACGTGTGAAATCTGTGAATGATCACAGAGGTCACATGGTACAAGGCTATTCACAACAGCCTTGTACCATGTGACAAGCTGTGACCAATCACAGCTCACTCAGTATTTCTCAATGACTGCAAGAATGCAGACAGAGAGAAAGAGAAATGATTGCTTTTTACATCCTATATGGGTGTAAAAGCAATCAGTGTAAAAAAAAAAAAAAAAAAATCTTCATCACCCCCCACAAGTAGTACAGTGTCACCATGGTGACACTGTACTGCTAGGGTGACAGTATGTAAAAATAAAAAATAAAAATAAAAATATAATATAAAAAAAAATAAAATAAAAATGTAAAAAAAAATGTTTAAAAATTATAATGTTTGGTTATAAACTAATTTGGATTTTTTTTTTTTATTAAAAAAATAACGGAATACATTTTGGCCAAGATTTAGGATGAAATATTATTTATTTGCAAAATTTTATAAAAAAAAAACACTTTTTTTCAAAATTTTTGGACATTTTCATTTACATAGTAAAAAAAATAAAAATCCCAGCGGTGAATAAATACCACCAAAATAAAGCTTTATCTGTCTCAAAAAAATGGTAAAAAAGTCATATGGGTACAGTATTGCATGACCGCGCAATTGTCATTCAAAGTGTGATAGCGCTGAAAGCTGAAAATTGCCCTGGACAGGAAGGGGGTAAAAGTGTCCGGACAGGAAGTGGTTAAGAACCATCATCACTGTCATTAACAAATGAGGAGAGACTTAAAGGTTTGAGCACTCTTCTAGTTTTCTGGAACCTTAGGAACTCATCATCGCTAGTGTCAGAACCTATGAAGCTCAGTTGCTCACAATCACTGACATCACTTTCTTCGCTATCTTCATATACGATACTATCTTCAGGAGATAATCAGAGACTGCGGACATATTACAGTAGATGACCAGAGATTGCAGATGTACTACAGGAGATGACCAGAGACTGCAGATATAGTACAGGAAATGAGCAGAGACTGTGGATGTACTACAAGAGATAATCAGAGACTGTGGATGTACTACAGGAGATAATCAGAGACTGCAGACATAGTTTAGTAGATGACCTGAGATTGCGGATGCACTACAGGAGATGACCAGAGATTGCGGACATAGTACAGGAAATGACCAGAGATTGCGGATGTACTACAAAAGATGACCAGAGACTGCAGACATAGTACAGGAGATGACTAGAGACTGCAGACATAGTACAGGAGATGACCACAGACTGCAGACATAGTACAGCAGATGACCAGAGACTGCAGACATACTACAGGAGATGACCAGAGACTGCAGACATACTACAGGACATGACCAGAGACTGCAGGCATAGTACAGGAGATGGCCAGAGACTGCAGACATAGTACAGGAGAGAACCAGAGACTGCAGACATAGTACAGGAGATGATCAGAGACTGCAGACATAGTACAGGAGATGATCAGAGACTGCAGACATAGTACAGGAAATGATCAGAGACTGCGGATATTTCTACAGAACATGACCAGAGACTGCAGACATAGTACAGAGGATGACCAGAGACCTTTCAGCAATGCACATATATACAGTTTGGTATAGCAGTCCACAGGCAGTTTATGGGGGGGGGGGGGGGAATACCTGGCCAGCCGGGCTCAGCATCCTCTTTGAGGGCAGGGCTCCCACTCAAATTTCAGTTTTCTACTAGCAGTTCCCTCCCGAGCTACAGACTGCATGGGGCGGAGTCAGTGGAGCTCCTGGACTTGGCCCCACCCCCTCCCTGCTGGCTGGGGATACAACAATGTCTTCAGTGTACCCTGTTGGCTCTGCAGTGCAGTGATCGGGGCCCCAGTCTTAGGGTGGTGTGGGCTTAAGGGGCAGCTGCTTTGGGCCCTGCCTGGCGCTGCTGTACTGCTGACTCGGACTCCTCCTCTCTTCTGCCCCAGAAGAGCCGAGTGGCCAGCCCGATATTCTAACACAGTGGTGGTGATGGGGGGGAGGCCTGGTCAACATTCACTCCATAAGACACACAGACATTTCCCCCCATTTTTTGGGGGGAAAAAGAGCGTCTTATGGAGCGAAAAATACGGTAGTAGAATCTTAGACTGTATAAGGTGTTCTTTACTGTAAGAGTGGTAAGGATGTGGATCTCCCTTCTACTGTTGGTGGTATCAGCAAGGAGTTTGGATAAATTGAGAAAACCTTTTAGGCGTGTTTCTTAGCTAACAAAATGTACAGAGATATTGAGAATATTGTGGCATAAGCATACCGACATACACACACATGTATTTATTCAACCATGTAACCTTTATTCAACCATGTAACTATTGATTTTAAAAGTAGACCCCATGAAAAAAAAACAACCATACCAAAGAGGCAACCTGCTGCAGACAGAAGATGTCTTTTAATTAGTGGTGGTATCCCTACTGACACTAAATAACTGACTTAATGTTTCTTTTTTGCTAGAATTTTGGTAGTTGACTGCATTCTACCATGCGAGGACAAGGTGCTTGCTATCTGCCTGTGTCCTAGCAACCAATAACATCATTGGTTGCTAGGACACTATAACAACCATTGATGCTGTGCAAATAATTTTAAAAAATAAGGTTCCTCCCAAAATACATATTAGACATTATCCTTGATAGAGGCCTGGTATGGATTTTAAAGAGGGATTCCATAATAACTATAAAAAAAGCAAAACCAAAGAAACCAGCATGCACTCCCCCCAAACAAAGTCCTTGCCAGAACCCTAAATTAAATAAACACAAAATACCTCAACATATTCCTTTACTCACAAAAGTCCCACAATGTAAATCCTTCATCAATTGTGTCAGCCAGTGATGTAGTGAAGTTAGTCAGTATAAATGATGGACACCAAAACAAAAACATGTTAACCTGCCATGACAATAGGATTCTGACAGAGACAGAATGTAAACAAAAGGGAAGGAGATCCTGGGCAAATGCAAACAGTCAACATCACATTAGAAAAATGTGCCCCTGAAAAAAAAGAAACGTAACCTTTTTTTGAGGATTTAGCAAAGAACATGACTGGGGACCTTTCTGAGGGATCGTACGATCCTTTGTCAGAAACTACATAAAATATCAATTGTGTCAGGCATGTTTAAAAATTTTGTTGGATAACTGAGACATTGTGCTGTACTGACAAAACTGGCTAAATGGTTCATTCTGAATGGGTGGTGACAACTTGTATATATGCACTATTAATTATCTGCTGTTGGCTTAAAATGTGTGTTGGTGCCCTTAGAATCATGCAACAATTTAGAGTTCAAAAACACCAGACTGTCTGAGTCTACCAAATACAGTATGTGAAAGTGATACTCAATAGATTATCATTACATTACAAAAAGCATCCAATTCAGCAAATGTAATCTTCCAACTGATTAATGTTTTTTAGCATAAAAGTACAATCACATATGTATAGAAAAAAATTTTCTGTCCATATGGCCATTGAAAAAAACAGTGTTAAAGTGAAGGTCACAAAGTCTTTCTTAAAGACTATGTTCACTAGAGGTGGTTTTATTAAAAATTATTGATGAAAATAATGTTTTAAAGAGTACTATTTCTATATACAATACTTTATCTTACTGAGGATCAACAAAGAGATCCTGGGCTAGAGAATCCAGAGGGCGAGTTCCTTTTTCCTAATCAGGTTTTGAAAGACTTTCCATATAGCTCCATTGAGTTTATAACAGAACATTGCATTTTTCTTCTGGGCTCTCTAAGTTGATTAACAGGAATGTAGGGTGAAGTTTTTGAAAGAAAGCCAGATCGAAGGGCTCAATAGAGTCTATATGGTTTTGAAGGAAGCCTCTGTGTTGCAAATTTCCATACAATTTGCCCTTTCAGCTCCACCTCTCCTCTTCTTATTATTATTTTTCTTCACTGGCTTTTTTTACATTTGGACCCCTCTTTTCATCCTAAATGGGAGTCAAAAGAAAATACTGACTACACAAGGCTGTATAGATTGTTCTAAGGCTGACCATACACTTTAAGATTTTTCCATTCAGTCTGCAGGCTATACAGCTACATCCAATTGGATACAACTGCTATCTGGCCGAAAATTTTCTGTCCAGCTCCTTAGATTTTTCAATCAAATGATGTTGGGTGGGAGGAGGAAAACAGGGCCACCCACTTAATTAATTTTGCCCAGCTCATCAGGACCAACATTTGCATATTGTACAGAAAGCTTAAAGTTTATTTCTACTTTTGCAGCCCAAATGGTATAGCACTTACTGAAAGGGATTTTTCTTTAATGACCACTGGCAGGTTTCGGCCCCCATTGGATCCAAGAGACTGCTCTCTGCAAGGAAGAAATTCACACGCATACCAAATCTTCCAGAAAGCAATCTCATCTTTATTCCTGACACTCCTCCTTATATATGATAAGATGTAACAAAGAAGCATAGAGTGGAATTTTACAGAGTAAGCTACAAAACTGTGTATGTGACATCTGTGACAGTTTCAAACCACCCAGACCTTGAAACATTTACAAAAAAAACCAACAGTATTTTCCCCTAAAGCAGAAGGGGTTAACCATTTATTCATACTAAAACATAACTAGATACTTTCCCTGCCTCCAGCAAGGCTAAGCTAAGATAAGAAACAAAAGAATCTGTGAGTACAGTTCTATAACACGTACACAGCCTTGACATGCACATCTACATATTTTCATTAACTCATCTGGGTATAATATAAAAGCAATTAATCAAAATGGAGTACAAGAAACAAATGGAGGGGGAAATAAAATGACAGACCAAAGGACATACATTTCCCTTCACTTACTTTATATTTGTTATATGTTCCCTTTAAAATCGCATAACTTAAAAAAATATTGTTACATGTTCCTATTAAAGTGGTTCTAAAGTCAAAAGGGTTTTTACATTAATACGTTAACTGCATTAAGGTAAAATAAAACAGCCCCGATCTCTCTTCCTGGTCTCATAGCACAGATTGAGAACAAAGAACCAGCAAACACAAATGCTCCTGCGCTTGGGGATGGACTCGATGCAGGCTACAACCACATTAACAATGTCCTGGAACATGCACACCTTGCTGCCCTCAATAGATCGGGGAAATCCAAATATACTGAATGAGGAAAGAACAAACAGAGGGCGCACAGGACTAGTGCATTACCATAAAAAAATGTTTAATAAGAAATAAAGTAGGTGTTGTACTCACAAACGATAATAAAGTCAAGGCATGTCATAAAAGAACAGCTTGGTCAACACCACGCTGAGTAACAGTCCGCAATAGGGAGTGTAGACATCCAATAAGTTGATGCGTTTCGAGGACTTGCCTCTTCCTCAGAGCCCCTCTTATTACTAAACAACAAAGGAGACCAAATATACTCATCATTATCATCAAATTAACAATATACATAATACCTTATTTATTATAAAACTATATTCTAAAAATCAATTACTAAAATCAAAATTAAAATTATGATTGATGTGGTAAAATAAACCCCACCATCTAGTGGTGAAATAAGAAATCAATAAAATGACTGGACAAACAGTGGTCCTTTTTTCCTTTTTTGATATTGGCCAAGTGTCTATAGATGCACACAACAGCCTGGCTTGGGACCACACCCACATGTGTACCCCCCAAACAAGTGGCTTGCTATGGTGGCACACACAAAAGAGGGGGAGTGGAGAGTGCCAGCGGGGGACCCCAGAAGAGGATGTAAGGGTCTACCCTGTGCAATCACTTTAACATAGCATAATAATAATAATGAAAAATAAAACTAAAAATTGCTGGGTACCTCTTTAACCCCTTCCCGTTGCTGCCTCCCTGCCCTTTAAGAACTTCTAAATGCCAGGAGGTAGGGGTGAGCTTTCAGGTGACCGAAATGTGACCGCTGTGATTAGCTTTCACATTGGTCACATGATCCGAAAACTCCCAATCACAAGTATGCATCGGGAGCTTTCCAGTCTCCTCCAGTAAGTGTGTTGGAAGCGTGCAGGGTGCATGCTCTCAGCACAGAAAAGTGTTTACATAGGGCCGCATATATGCAGCCTCTTGGTACTGAAGCCCATATATGCTTATCTCCGGCAGAAATTTGTTGAGTGCTTTTTGCTTGAAAACCTTACATGTTCTCCATGCTTTGTTGTGTTTAGTTGGGGGCTGTGGAGTAACGTTTAACATAATTCATCCTGTCTGTACTGTGTTCGCAAATCTTTATAATCAGCTGTAATCTGGATTTGAATACTGTATTTCTTAAAAGTAAGTTGAAAATTTGTATTTTTATTTGTATTTTATTGAGGTATAGCTTAATAGAGGACACAGACACTGTGAGACTGTCCAGAAATTTTTAGAATCCACCATGACACCTTATCC